AATGATACGCACAGGCACATTTATATAGATGTGAGGGCAACTCCATTTTTGTTAATGTATTGTTCGAACTCAATTCTTGTAATACGCCGGCGTTTGTGTACTCAACGACAAATTGCTTGATGATTGGCGTCGTACTAATTGGGGTAAACTGTATCAACATTAGTGTTTGACCCATTTTGGATAAGCAGTTGCATATTTTGTGTCTTTGGTTATGTAATTTTTTCTAGATAGAAACAAGGTGATCGGTCAAACCAACCACACAATTCTGAATGCGCCGAAATAACGATGCGAACGCGCTGTCCATAGACATCCGTAATTGCAGACACGTTGTATTTTTTTAGTTGTCGGAAGAGGGGACGCGCAGAATAAGGATATTTATCCTTTCTAAGGCTCTCCTCCTGCGTCAAATCCATTTCTCTTTCCAAAACGAAAGGGCTAAGGGAATAAAATTAGGCTTCTAGCAAGTTTGATGAGTAATCAAATGAAACTCGGAATGACTTCCAATTCATGCCTATGTTTTGTATGGTCGCATTGCCCTGGACGTGCCGGCCCATTAGTATTGTTTGCAATAATGGTTAACTAATGGTACAATTAAACGTGTTTATTGCCACTATTATATGAGAAGGCATTGAACATCTCAAAATCTAATAAAAATCTTCATAATTAAATTTAATAATAAATTTATGGGATTAAAACTAAATCATCTTAAAAATAGCTAGATTAATAAATATGATGGACGAAATGTGCAAGTGCGTGAAAAGAAAAAATATTACTTTCTTTACTATAGCTTGAGCCAAAAACAAATATTGTGTAGATAAATTAGTCTACATTTTTCTACAATATTTTGTTACGGTAGTTTTAAAAATAAAATGCAATAAAATTTTGCATATCATGCATCGTCAAAGTATGACAAGTTATGCCAAATTACATCGTATTGGCCTTTTTTGTTTACAAGTCATTAATACATAAAATTAATTAAATTATTAAATACAAAAATTAAAAATTAAATTGAAAATATACAAGGAAAATTATTTAAATAAAAACTTACCAATAAATATTATTTTTAATAAATCTACTTATTTTATACACCACGCACTTTTATTCTTTTCCACGCGCGTAAAAATTATAATGATTCAAGCACGTCCGTAACCGACCATACACACAATACGAGTGTTGCGCTGTAGCTTATCTTTTCAATAAGTATCGATAAAGTGAGCGTCGATATGTTATCGATATGTGGCTTATGATAACGTCTAGAGATTATAATATACTCCCGATTTAACGCATTTTTCGTTGCTACGTCGATAACTTTTTTTGTGTCACGCATTCTTTATTTTTAGACGTCTATTCCTAATTATTGGTAAATTAATTTTTAATGATTATATTGAGGTTATACAGATAACAGACTTTTAATATGATTAAGGTCTATTATGGACTATAATTTGTGATTTTCATTTATTATCAACTAGGTGTCGCCCACTATTTGACATCCGTGCGGAATTTAAAAATAATAATGTGTTCTTGCAGACTTTGTTCTATATTCATCCCAAATTTCATTGCGATCCGTTAAGCTGTTCTGGAGATACGTTAAAAAAATATTCATTCATCCATCCATCTATCCAAACATACGCATTTAAAACATTAGTAAGACTACGCGTATGTATTCCTGGTTTAGAATGCCGCAAGATACTAAGATAGGTAATAGGTAAGACAGGCTTCAGGCAAATAAAGTATGGATTATGTACTCGCAAACTTAATTTTAAAGATAATAAAAAGTAATTGTTAATACATCTAAAAATTGAGTAATAATTTAGAACAATTTTAATTTAAATGATATTACGTAAACTTTAGTGAAATATATTAACTAATTTGCTTAGCAACAATTGTATAACATCAGTTATCATTATTTTACAATAGTGACGTACCTTACTAATAATCTAACTTTTTTATGTTCTGTTGATATAAATGTCATCTTAACATTCAGTGTTCGCTCATTCGTCACAGATAATCTTTCTTTTTTTTTTTAATTTACTTTTTTATTTCTTACATATAGTATAAGATGGCAAACAAGCAAGCGGCCATCTGAATTCGTTAAAATTGTTAAGTGACCGCTGTTCATAGACATTTGCATTTGCATATGCGTTGCTTTCCTATGCACACTTTAAATTTTATATTTTTATACTAGTATATTATAAAATTTTGGATTATTCAACACACTACGAGACTACAGAATATTGTACAAAATTTCACATAACTGAAAAAGATCAATACGACCACCTCCATCTATATAAATATTATAAGGCGTAAACACACTTTTTTTATAACAAAAAGCCCCATAATTACGACACTTTTTAGGCTATATTTTTTCGCGCCATTAAACTTAGGGGTAATTAAATTGAAAAAAACCGTTACGCGAGAAAGGGACAAAAAATTGCAAGCCTATAGCAACAAAGGATGGTTGCCATGGTAACGGTAACTCTTAACCAATAGCGAAGGTCTTGATTTTTATCTGAGTAAACAAAACTAAGTATGCAACTAAAATGAATGGTGTTTCATGCTGATGAAGCCGCACGGGAATAGCTAATATATTACTTAGAGGTCAGTGGTCCATTGATATGGTTATGGTACTGCTTTAACTAATTGACAGTTAGAAGATCTCTGGGGAAACGTGTGTTGCGACATAGTCGAGTTCCATCGGATTACTAGTATAATGTAAGTGGCCACGGTCAACGACGGGGTCGGATTATGTCATGCTGGTACTAAAAGGTTAACTATCTGTCGTCCGCGACTCCGTCTGCGCGAAATAAAAAAAAAACCTTAATAAGTTGCCTATGTTCTCCAGACTATGTTTTACATCTGTGCAAAGTTGCAGCGAAATCTATTGAGCCGTTCCGGAGCTACCTTCAAAGAAACATCCATCCATAAATCCATCTAAACACTCACATTTATAATATTAGTAAGATAATAAGGTTATTGGTGTGTACGCCGGTTAAAACAATCTTGAATAGATTTAAAAATGCATTAAGCTTGCAATACCATTCTGGTTCTGGTGTTATGTGTTAACAAACTGAATTTTTAGGTAAATAACTGGATTGAATTATTTGAACAGCATTCGCTGTGTTTTATTATAATGTAGGCCTGAAAAAAGTTAACGAATATATATTTAATTAACATTGAAAAATAATGCGAGAACGTTCGGAAGTAAACAATAAAAGAGATAACACGTTAATGGCCGAAAAATGAAAAAAAAAAAAATGAACACAAGAGGTTTCATATAGCATTTAATACCTTTTTTTTGTTTTTTTTTGATAATAGGTAAAGGAGTTTTTATTACGAAAAAATAGAAATTTGATTAAAAGGTTTGGTGCAAAATAGGAAATAATTTTATTTTAACATAATATCTCTAACTTACCTTTTATACTATACTTGAAGTATTTACCATCCAAACAGAATTATTTTTCCTAGAATTGATTTGATTTCGAACACTTGTATTATATAAAAATATTTGATGTACAACAAAGATTTAACACATATTTAAGAAAAAAAATATCAGAAGCATTACGTTGACATGCATAGAAATAATATTGACGAAAAAATACTGGCTGGCAGTAGTTACGAGATTATTTTAAATATTTATGACATTAAAATACGCGCCAAAACTATTGGTAAACGCGTGTTTAACCGACTGCTTGCGTCGCGAGCACTAAACTTCTTTGCGACTAGTCAAATAGTATAACAAATTAGATTGTTCTATGAGTAAGAGATTGTAAACATATGAGCACTTGCATTCGAGTTTAGCGCATTTACGACCCCACGTGGTCAGTGCATGTTGAAAATAAAGACGCACGAGGTGAACTAACGATGTTTAAATGCGTTTCGTCGTATTATTTTAGTCACTATTCTATAAGGATTGTTGAATTGTTAGGACAGTCGAAACGCCCAGTTTCATCAGCTATGCCCGTACTCGCTTCTAAAGTAGTAAAAGTTCTAATATACAAAATAGGGAATAATCATAACGACTACTATATTTTATTCATGGTCCTGCGCGGTTAGATAGAACACATTCGCTTTAAGGCGATTCCAAAGCAAACTTCAAAAATGTAAGAACTGACAATATCTTTCGGTAAGTCATGTGATTATCGCGCGTCAATTTGATAAATTTTTGAAATTCGTTATAGAATCGCTTCGAACCCAATGCACTTTGTCTAATCCTCCTGGTACATTTTTGTCGTTCCCATAAATGTAATTAAGATATATACAAGGCAACGTAAATCATCGAAACTAATATTGTATGGTTGTATGTAATATTATATGTATGGCTTTGCGAGAATCTCGTTGCGCGCACTCAGTACAAATAACGTGGAATCGTCTATTCGGTCAGAACATAGTAATTATAGACCGAGAATGCTATCTAAGCCGGTAGGAATATAAGTTAAATTAAATTATGACAACTCACTAGCGCCCCCCTGTCAACGTCAAAAATGTCACAAGATCCTTTTCTTAATATTTTTTTTTATTTCATTCTCTATATATCTATGTAGGTTTTATATATATATTCTAAAAGAACTATACGTGATAGCAATTCAGATATTCTTGTTTGACTATATATTTATAGCTCTTTAATATACGTGTTAACTTTATGGATTTACTCTTGATAAATCGGTTGCGAGTCGCTGTCTTTATTTGATAAAACTCTGATAAGCTTTTCCCTATAAATATAGCTAGTTTTCCCTTTGACAATTTGACAACGTCGCAAGGGATTTCCCCTTTCTATTTTCATTGTCATAACACATTGAAGAAATACAACAAATACAACATAAACATTAAAACCATACTTTTGAAAAAATAAAAATCAGTAAATTATAATTCATAATTTAAAAAAAAACAACCAAATCAACTACCGAGACAACCCATAGCTTTTATTAAAAATAAATATTTTTATTGTCTACAGACTATAAAAAGTGAGTCTGAAATTTTGTTAATGCGCCGCGCTTTTTAATCTGTCTTTTTAAACCATTTTGAAGAAAGCTCGTTCTACGGATCGAGTGTATTCATAAGTTTTGTGTTTTACCATTGCAATTTGTGATATTTAGTACTATAATTTCTAGAATTAGCATTAAGTGAACTATAGTAAGGTAATAGGTGTAAAAAAATTGAAATACCATCAACTCACTTCGTGACAGATTGATTGGCGTTCACGTTCAGTAAACGAGTTACAGGTTATAGGCGAAGTTTATTAAATTTTACCAGTAGTATTCGTTTGAGTTAATTTACAATGGAAAGCATGGATGTTGCACAAGAAGGAACTTCGGCGGCTACTACACCGGTGCTCGAAAATGGTAAGTTCCTAAAGCGCTATTGAGTGACGCCCGGCGTCCGTTGACGAAAATGTGCTTTGCTATGCTATTGTTATTACAACGCATTGTTATAAATTTGAGGTTAAAATGTTTTAGGGCCGGACAAGAATGTTGCAGCGGAGGAGATGACATCCAGAGACTATTATTTTGACTCATACGCGCATTTTGGTATCCACGAGGAAATGCTAAAAGATGAAGTTCGCACGCTCACGTATCGAAACGCTATGTACCATAATAGGCATTTATTCAAAGATAAAGTAAGTTCTGATAGCAAAAATTTACATCTGTTTTCTAAAGGTTCGATTATAAAAGTATATATATAACCTGCAAATCAATATTGACAGAAAAAATAATCTTTATTATATGTACTTCAGTATGATTCTTTTGTAATCATAGGTATTAAAAAATTCTAGATATTGGAATAAGGTCTTTACGTTACGATATGAAATATTTTGTCGTGATATAAACAGTTTTAACATCTACCTTACTAACAAACTTTGGAGTTGATATAGATTGTCAGTTTTTAATAGTCGTAGACAATTTTTTTTTCTTCAAAACCAATTGTACAAATTTAATTTAATATTCTTTAGTTGAAACATAATGATTTATAATGTTTACAGACAGTGTTAGACATTGGATGTGGTACGGGCATCCTGTCAATGTTTGCAGCGAAGGCCGGTGCAGCTAAAGTGATAGCAGTGGAGTGCTCCAATATTGTAGACTATGCTCGTAAGATTGTTGAGGCAAACAAACTCGATGATATCATAGAAATTGTCAAAGGAAAGGTGAGGAACCAACTTATTTTAACAAATAGATATGAAGTAAAGATTGTCATATTGTCTAATTTTATGTTCGATTAAGTTGTTATGAATCTATTTATTCTAACTAGTAAATGGTTGACATAATTTGATGAACTCAGTATGAAAGTAAGCTAAGTTTGTTATATGATATTTCTATTGTTTATATATTATCCTTTGAACACCAGAGTTTATATATTTCATTGTACTAAATCAAGAGTTTCTTTTGTAATTTGTACTTTACATTGCCAGGTGGAGGAAGTGGAGTTGCCAGTAGACAAAGTGGACATAATAATATCTGAGTGGATGGGCTACTGCCTGTTCTATGAGAGTATGTTGGATACGGTGTTGTATGCTCGTGATAAGTGGCTGAAACCCGGTGGCATGCTGTTCCCTGACAGGTAATGGATATTATAACAGTATAACAAAGCTTGTTAACTAGGACTAAGTAATAATTGCTTAATGTATAGTAACTGAAAATAAATTTCTTGAATTAGACTTGATTAAATCTTGTTTGTAAAAATAATCATTTTTCTGTTGTTTGTAAGACAAGTTTGTGGTCCAGTTTAGACCAATCAGCAACCACTTTAAAAAAATGGAATTACGAGATTAAATTGCATACTCTATATTACTCATGTTGGGTTTCTGAGATGAAAATCATGGATAAAACATGTACAGTATGAAACATATAGTAGTCTTTGTGATTATCTTCGACAAAACAGAAATAAAAATATATATTAAACAGAGAATTTGGTCTAAAAACCCATGGTCAGGATAACATTGCTGTTTTTGTGTTGCTTGAATACTGATATTGTTGAATTACTATAACATTCTCTGTATTCAATAGATGCACATTGTTCATCTGCGGTATTGAAGATCGGCAGTACAAGGACGAGAAGATCAACTGGTGGGATGATGTGTATGGCTTTGATATGTCCTCCATCCGTAAGGTGGCAATCTCCGAGCCACTTGTTGATGTTGTTGATGCTAAACAGGTCAGCTATTATATAGTTACATTTTAGTAAACTAATTCTTGATGCAGTTATGATAATTATTCTGAGGTCCTAGCATGAACATTTGCGACACGCGTCTTCGAAACGTCAATAACGAAATTTGTCAAAATTTATATTAGATTTGTGAGTGTACTTTATGCCATTTAGGGGTGCTGTACAAACTTTAATACAAATTTTGTCTAAAACACTATGAAAACTTATTCATGATACTGGCCCTGATATCTTCACATACAGACAATGTTTATCATATTTATGGTGGTCTTTATATTTTTCAGGTGGTAACAAATTCTTGTTTGCTGAAAGAAATTGACCTATATACAGTTAAGAAAGAAGATTTGAACTTTGAAGCAAAATTCCATATGCAGGTGAGGACTTAACAAAAAGGTGTACAGGGATTTAAATAAAAAACCCTTGTTTGCAGAAAAATGTGTTAATATTGTAGAACATGAATAACAAAAAGATGTAGACAAACTGATCTGACATTACTAAATTCAAAAGTTTAAATTTCTTCTTTTTTTCTTAGATTTAATGGCAGCTAAAGTGTAAAAACTCCTTGAACAAAAGTTATAGGCATTTTAATAGTAAATAATTACTACTTGATGTTTGTCTGCTCTGTTTAAGTTAAGAAATTCATTTTATTGAAAAAAAATCTGCTAATTGTCTTTCTAGGTCCGTCGTAACGACTTCATCCAAGCTCTGGTGACATTCTTCAATGTAGAGTTCACTAAGTCTCACAAGAGGCTGGGCTTCAGCACCGCTCCCGAGGCACCGTACACACATTGGAAGCAGACCGTCTTCTACTTTGATGAGTATATGACGGTTAGTTATCTCGTTGATTTATTTAAAGCTAAAGAGATGGATACTTATTAAAGTAGCCTATTTTTCGTGCAATACAGCTTTTCTTAAAAGTATTTAAGTTATAAACTAGTTGTCGCCAATGACTGTCCGCCTGGAATTAAAAAATTAAAAATTTCAGCAAGCTCCATGCAGACCTAGAGATACCTTAAGAAACAACTTATCCATACATCCAAAAATTCATGTTTATAATATACGCAGGATAGTAAAGTTACATTAACTTATTGTAAACCAACTGAGTAGTCCTAAACTGTACTAAAGGAGTTTTGACTGACAGTTTAGCCTTTGTTGCCTTATTGTATACAACGCAAAATAGGCTTAGACCCCATTCTAATAGAAATTAATATACAATAATAAATTATTACAGGTGAAGAAAGGTGAAGAGATAACAGGCACATTCTCTATGAAACAGAATGAACGGAACAACCGTGACCTTGACTTTGAAGTGGAGATTGAGTTCAAGGGAGAACTCTGTCAGGTCAAAGAGAAGAATCACTACAGAATGCGTTGAGTGTGGCTCCCGGTGACTCAATGTAGACTCACTATGCTCAACCCGAGCATTGATAGTGATATTAAGTTTTTATTTCTCAGTGTGAAGGACATGTTTCTATGTGAAGTATTACAGTTCAAAAAATGTTTTCGTTGAGTAAAAGTTGAAGAATTGTACATCATATAGATGCTAGAATGCAATGAAACACAATTATCCAGTAAATATTATTGGGTATTTAAATTGTTGTTTACTCGTGTCAAATTTGCCAAAACAACTCAATTTGCAAGTGCGGAATTAACTGTGTTGTAACCATGTGTAAAACAAAATATTCATTGGAATATTTTCTTTTTCTTTTAATTTACTTTTTCAATTATCAAATAATGTTGTAAATTTTGAATGTGAAACGACAAAATACAATAAATGGAAAATACAAATTAAACATAGAATTAAGTAATTAACGGGTCGAATTGAAATTTTTTACACAATTTGGTATTTCAATAGCTCAGTAATGTATACATTTTATTACACAAAAACATTCATTAAATGTAAGTTTTCCATTGTTTAACAAATTTACCTTGTCTTGTATATTATAAGTTCATTTTATGACTAAACTTCGTATTATTTCTCAACAATATCTTAAAAAAAACCTTAGAAGAAAAGTAAAAGTCTTTGGGCTCGTCGCGATACTTGAGGAAAAGTATATTTGGCTTCATTTCCAACCAAAAATAGTACATCTTTATGGTAGACCTTTACGAGTACCAATTTAGGCAAAATTTATTGATATTAAAAGAAAACTAACGGAAGTATCTGGGGGTCTAGCACGAATATGTGTGAGAATTTTTTCGTAACGTAACAGAAAAAGTATTAGAATTTGTACAACGCCCCTACCAGGTGTGTAGTGCACCAACAAATCTCATTACGTTATTTTGTCGATGCCGTTACGAAACGTCAAATATTCGTGGTAGACCATCTGAAGAAAATTTAGTTTGACGAATTCTTCATAGGTTATGAATATGTCTTCATACTTTATGATATGTTAAATCCTAGTATACAATTTTGGTTAAAATCTAATGAATACTTTGTATTCCTTTAATACAAACATTTTGTTTCAAGTGGCAGTATGTAAAAAACTAAATATATTCATTAAGCCACCACGTGTTTTATTTTTGAACCTTACTTATATTTTTTCCACAATTTCTGTACCACTGCTACAATAGATTAAAAAAAACTCATTCTTTTTGAAAAAAAACAGAGGTAAGATCATAAAATAGGAACATATTAGTAGAAACAATACGTTATTATTTAGAACGGCCTATACGTCCGAATTTCGGATGTAAAGAGGTAAGGATGTGTTGCCAGTCTTATGAAAAGAAGGGGAACCCACCCCACAACATCACTTTCCACGTTCATTTGATAACCTTCCATGTGTTCTCTTACAATTTATATATATTATGTTTACTAGTACTATCTATTTAGGTCATATTTTAATCCTAACGTCATATAGTATATTAAATAAGTTAAGATTTAGTGAACTTACAGCGACCGCAGTTAATAAGCTTTAGCGAAGTTAATATAGTGCTACTAAGTTAGACGTGTGCTCGGCACAGCGCGTCACATTCGTTTTATAAGTCTCCTCAAACAAGCAGGGTTTAACCATAATATTCTATTCGCTTTGTTTAAACTTTAAGAACATTTTCGTCAAATTGTTCTCTTTATTTTTCTGAGAACATGTTATAGGTGACCTATGGCCTATACTATATACCTATAGGCCAACCGTAAGAGAGGACACTTATCAAGGGATGGGACGTTCTTAAAAATACAAATATGAGTTGACTTTATGTTTTTGTTAAATATAATAGTTAAAAAGTTATGTCTTCATATTTCTATGAATAACATAATGGAGTTGTTAGATCGCTTATAAATAAAGGAAAACGCAGAATGATTTTAAGTTTTTATTTTGTCTTAAAACTATCACGTATTACCATTTTAAAATTATGTAAGCATAGAGTTAATAGAGTTAATTATACGACAACATTGGGTAAAGCGCTCCTCTGAACATCGACGCAGCAGCAGTTGGTGATGAGATGGTACTCCTCACAGGAGTTGGCATACACAAAGTTGCAGTTGGTACTGTGGCAGTGGAACGACATGACTGTGAACAACACATGTTTATGAATCCAAAAATCTTATGTTAATCGTGGTTAAAAGTAAAGTATAATAATTTTTTTGAATCTCCACCTTTTTTTTTTCAAAAATAACCCGTTACAGTATGCTGTAAACCACCACTTTAAATTCTGACCGTGTGTTTCTGAGACCTAACTCTCTCTATAAAACATCGTCGTCCCTGTCATTATGTTTGACAAAACAGAAATAACAATATGTTTTAAACGCAGATTTTGGACTCAAAAACCTACGGTGTTCAAAATTAAGGTTATGGTATGTCTCTTGGAATCCAAACATTAGGCCATTTTAATAATTCAAAAATCGAGAATCAATCCCAATATTTTTACTTTTCTTTTCAGTAGCTTTTTTAGTTTTTCCTTTATAGCTTGAAATGATTATCAATTTACTTACAACCAGAATGTTCACAACAGCACGCGTCATGAGCCTGCTTGTAGGAACAGTAGCTGTATACCGAAGAATCGCAGAGCGGACAACCCGGATGAGCACCAGGTGGCCCCACCACACCTGGATGGTATCCCGGATATTGTCCTTGGTAGCCGCCGCCCGGGTAGTACCCGCCCGGATACCTTTCTGGATAATGCCCGTTCCCGTAGCCTCCTAGTAAATAGTCCAGTATTTGGCTAAATCCTATACCTGTTGGTGAAGTGAATGAATGAATGAATGGTTACATGAGTGAATGATGTTGGTTAGGTTGACATCACTGGCCTCTATAGATAGACTGGTTATGAGACGTGGTATTTTGTGACTATTCGATTTTCAACATTTTGGCGCTGATAGTTGTGGTTTGTAGCGGTGGTGTAGATTCGAACTAATAATATAAGATAGTATTAACTGTCACGTAACATCAAGAGGCACGGTTAAATCGGAATGAAACAATACTTGTTATTTCCAAGCAATCGCCTATCTATTTATAGAGATCAGTGAGTTTACATGCAATTGTGCTGATTGATATGGATAAATATGAAAAGAGAAATTCCATTTTCCCTGACACAACTGACTTTTTTCCTTTGATCGTGTGCAAAGAAAACCTGAAGCCTTTTTGTTCGTAATAAATATATTACTAAAGAAGATATTCTAGACACAATTTGAAGTTTAAAGAACTATGTTTTATGTTTCAAAACAAGGGATTTTTAATAGATTGCCTCCGATATCAAAATAAAAAAATTATAATTGCTATTAAATAATAAGCTAAAATATTTTCATACCATATTTTATTATCATTGAACAAATATTATGTTACCGAAAACCTCTGTAATAGAAATTATATAAAATGGTGACGATGACCGACATTTTAGTAATGATTGTGAATGGAAAATGAAATTATTACGTGAATGACAATGGAAAATTAATGACGTCACGACATTTAATTAATGTCGCATTGTTTCAATTAATCAAGTTTAGTTTAAGCGAGTTTTTTTGACAAAGTTTAATTTATTCTATACATATCTAGCGTTACCTTTATTTTGAGCTGACTTCAAAAGAATTCGTTTGTATTTTTTTTAGAAAAATGATCTTAAAACTGAACAATTTTTGTTTACTGCAACTGCATACGAAAGAAAAACTTTTAATAAATGTAAAATTAAATAAGCATTGTCCATTCAACATGTTTAGTATATTAAATACTTTGAATTAAAATCATAGATTTTTTAAATATTTTATGACAAAAACAAAAAAAAAACTAGCTTGATAGTCTCATATGAATGATGATGCACCGAAAGCTCGTTCAGAAATCGTTCATCTTACCGGTTGGCACTTTAACTCTGCTGGTCTCGTAATTATTCTGAGCCTCACCTATTGATTAAAACTTTATTTGTAAAGGTAAAAAATTTAAATGACTGCTTTTAATAGTAGTTAGAACAATAAAAAGTAGTAACCTACAAGAAGTTTTGTTTAATAAATCTTACTAAATTGTAATTAAAAATTTATATTTAAACTGAAATATACTATTTTTGCAATGTATAAATAAAATATTTAGAAATTATATAACACACAAAGTGCACTATTTTTTTTCAATGAAATAAAAAAACTTACCATGGCTGAGAGCGATGACAGTAAGAAAAACAAATAATACAAGTTTTCCCGCCATTTTTCGTGCTGTCACTTGTTTTTCGATATGTATTAGCAGTGTAGCCTCTTCAGTGTGTGCTGGTCAGCCGTAACTGATGCCAATTGAATGTAAATAATGAAAATAAGCCGGCTTAAGACACAGCCAAAGCTTGTTTTACCAGTACACTCGCGAACAAAAATAAAAATAACTTGTTTATCATATCTTGGCGTCGGAGTTATATATATTAAAAGTAAAATAGAAGAAAATACATTTAAATACTAACAGTAATAAAACTGATTCTCGTAATATTTAATTGAAAAGAAGTTCTGCTTAAATTTTTAATAATTTTTGACCATACGACTGCAGCCTGGTAAAGTATTTTTTTTTAATGTAGCCAATAGCAAGCGGTCACATAAATTCGCCAAAATAGCGAATATATTTCAATGCATTGTGCACACATGTGTACTCCATAAAATGCTAATTATTATTAATCCAAGGGCTTTGCAGTGGCCCTTAGTCCTCCAGTCCACTAGTTAAGGAGCCGCTCTCTTGCAATTATATGACATTCTAAACATGCAATTAAAATGTCGGTAAACATCCGCTCTTGTGCAATATTAATAATTAATTAAATTGACGTTTGAACGTATTATTTTTTTTCTCTATTTTGTCTCTGGAGTGAAGTGTCCCCTTCCTTTGTTTTTATTTTGTTTTCGGTTTGGTTAAAACTATTTCTGTTAAAATATGGTTAAAAATATTTAGAAAACTATTTCTGTTGAATATTTCACAATTATGCAATAAAAAAATAAAGAAATTTTGTAATTTTTTGGTGTAACGAATAAAATTGTAAACATTTTTGTACGCGATTTCCCACAAATCCAAACTACAGATGTCAGCTAGCATCATTCGCGGATGATAGACATCTACCGCCTTCGCCTTAATAGAGCATAACTAACTTTTTTTCTGTTAAAAAAGGTTTAATAGTTGTGTCTATCTGTGGTAATGTCAGGGCCGGGAGCCGGGGTGCTTGACCGCATAGCCAATGAACCCAAGATACCGTAACCGCGAAACCAGTCTGTGCATCAACTGATGTGTGTTTAAACGTTTATAAGATTAATTTTGAATTTAGAATAAATTTTATGATAATTAGCAAAGACATAATAGACAGATGGTAATAGACAATTAAAATTGTCTTTGGTTGTCCAGGATTCCTTGTTTATAGATTATGCTTTTTTAATATGCATGGCTGAAAATTGTAAGAAACGTTTATGATTAACTCTTTTCTCTATGTCTGTACTTATCTTATATTTACTCCCTAATTACAAATATTACAAACAATTTATTCTTAGCTGTTAGAAAGAGTAAGAATTTAATATTTTTGTCTTTATTGTATTGGCAGTAATTACGGTTATACTTTGCAAATACTACGTCTGGTTAAACTCTAAAGCTATTATAATATCGTTAAATCTTAAAAGCTTCGTGTTTGCGTGATGTTTTGTTTCCTATCTAGTAGACCGTTGCATCATTTTTCTTTTGATCAAATTCACAATGGGGTTTCTTAATAAAGCCTTAACTACTGTGTAGCATTACTTCGTTTTAGTTGTGAATGTTTGTGGCTATTCAAAATGTAGTGTCGCCATCTGTTGGTGCATTTCGATATCATTCTGAAACTTTAGTTACGTTTTTTTTTAATTCATAGGTTATAAATAACAAAATAAAATGATAATTTTAACAAATTAATATATTTATTTTTTAACTTAGAAAAATTAAAAAAATCGCAAAACTTTTACAACATGTCAGATGAGGTGAAACAATTATAACAGTTGTGCAAAATCAATATTAAAATATCAATGTTAATTTATCCTAACTTTATAAGATACAGCGTATTTTATTATTTATAATAGGCACTTAAGGTAACATAACCGCATTTGCTTTGTACACACTATATTACAATATAGTTAAAAATATAAAAAAGAATGCATTCGTGTAGTCAAATCATTATAAGTACTTCTTACGCTTTATATAATTTCAACATGCCTGTGATCAGTGGTCAAATACGAACCTCTATTACATTCTATTATGTATCTCACTTAGCGACTAAAATCGTTGGGTTTAGAAGATTTACGTTAACTGTTTATGAAGGGTTATTGTGGTCAAAAATCTATGATTCTGTAGGTTTTGTTATACTGAACTCAACTTGTCTTGTTGCTCTTGATGTCTCAGCTTGATGGCCGTATCCCATCCCTATCATTGCATTTACAAACGTTCTAGAAACCTAAATTGAGATAACCAACGAGTAACTATAGTTTTATAGTAGTTTAAATAAGTGGACGTCAAATTCATTGATGGTCTTTTCTATTAAATTAAGATAGTAAATTGAATTTAAACTTAACCTAACTTAATATAAGGTTCAAGTTTCATAGCACGCATGATGTCCCCCGTGACGGAGCATCTGCCAGCCTGCATGATGACCCTCGCGTCCTCTTTGCCAGTCACCAGCTGCTTAAAATAGTGTTCGTTTAAGGTAAACGTAGTGTCTGGGTCTTCTTCAGGCTCACCCTCGTATGCGGTCACCTGATTCAGGTCTAACGCTGAAAGGGAGAAGGGAAAGAGTTTAGTGGACTGTTTTTATCACGATCAACATAAGTTATAACTCTCTTTCTCTCTATCTCTTTCTCTAGAGCTAATATGGTGGTGATGTCAGCTTTCATAATATGCAATTAATTGTAAAAATTAAATATTATAATTTATTCATCATCATCACCAATTTATTTCTGTCCTTTTCTCTGTAAATGATTGGCACTGTACTACTTATATACATCTCTATCAGCTGTTATATCTGAATCCACTCCCTTTTTACACATATATTCTCTTACATACAATCCATCCATTCTTCCTTTAGCCCTTTTCTACCTTCGTATCAATTTCCATTCATTAATTAGTTTATCTAATTTGTTGCAGTCAGAGTCTTTAATTGTACACTAACATAACAACATCCTTAGTGTCGATTTGAGATTTTCTCCTAGCGCTGTTACACGGCAATAAGTTACACTTTGCAGAAAGCCAGATGTATTGGAAGACCCATCAGTGGGTGTTGAATCTAGGTTTTCTTTATTGTTAAAATATTATCATCATTTTTGTTTTATTGAAAAAAAACACACTAACATTATTATTTGCGTATCTTTCCCAGTGGAAACGTAGTAATGGTTAATACTTACTCCAGCTGTAAACAGATGTGCCTTTGATGATGTTAAATAGGAACACGCCCCCCACTTCCTTTGCCTTGACGGGGTCCAGCTTGCTCAGCCGTGATTTTATCTTCATCACAAGTTCAGATTTGCTCAGGTTCGCGTTGTCACTCTGAACCGCTCCCTGGAATATTGAAATGTACTTTTAACCGTCTAGTAAGTAATAGATTTTTTTTCTCTTTGTTATCATCATCATCAACCTGCCCTTATGCCTATTGAGGATCGGCACAGTATGCACTACTCCTCCATACATCTCTATCAGCCGTCATATCCGGATCTACCTCCTTCCTACGCATATCCTCTTTCACACAGTCATTCCATACTTTTTTTGGTCTTCCTCTACCTTTGTAGCCACATTCAATCTCGTTACTTTTTTGCTTATATCATCATCATCCCTCCGCATAACATGCCCAAATCACGCAAATCTTTTACTCCTCGATTTCTCGATCACTGGCGCTACTTTAAAACTTTCTCAATATATACATTAGTCTTTGTGTTTTCAAAATATTATAACAAATACTTGACACACTATAAAATAATTTGACAAACAGTATTTGAATATTCTTATTATATATTCAAACTGTTTTGTAAAAATATAATAAAAATTACACATTAAATAAAATCTAGTTGTTTATAATAAAAAATATATATATTTTAAATTGGATAAGACGAAGTAATAAATAAAAAAATAAAATAAAATAAAAATAAAAAAAGTGAAACTTGTTTATTTTAGGTGTCCATTATATTTAGAGTTAATAATTTATTACTATAAATGCTAAAATATAAACAAAAAAATACTTGCCATATTGTATGTGGTGTGCCGAGTGCCGTTGCGAGTACACAGTGCGGACTCGGAAGACGGTCGAGAGCTTTCTCTATTGCAACACTCTCTGACTTGTTACAGTGACCATGTTTATTAAAAGTCCTGGATTAAGTTCTTAATGTATGATTGTTTATTTAAGTTGGTAATATTACATGTGATATATTTCTCTCAGTTATTAGATTTTTGGATTAATCTTATTAGTTTGTAGTAACAATCAAATTTGACAGGACCAATTAGTCGTAATAGCCCCCTGGTCCGTATATGTAACGAAATTAATTTTATCAACAATTTAAGATGTTTTTAAAATAAATTATTATGTGCATGCCTTTATTTGGCAAACATAGCCAAAATGTTTGTGTAAATTTTCTCATTGTTCTATTTTATATGCGTACTGCGTAGTCTTAATTAATAAAATAAGTAATTTAATGATATTTTGAGTCAAAAATAAAATGAACATACCATGACTTATTTGAATTCCTTCAATAATACTGTTTGGAGGTGGTATTATTTATGATTAAATTAAAATCCCCTTCAGTCCTAACTTTGAACTAAGATGTATTACCCTGAAAAGTGAGTTCCTAAATTATAGAACTAAAACTGATAAATTAAATCGAACTGTCCTCTTACTTAGTGTAATCATGGTCACTGTACATTACTATGTAATTTCATATAATAAGTACGTTTTACTATAAAATGTGCTGACGAATTGTAATGTTTTCACTTTTAGCATACAATTAGCTGGGTTATTACGTTATTTTAATTAGTTTTAAGGTTTGAATAAAAGCAATAAATGTCGGAAGAACACAATTGTTTGGTAAGAATGTTTAAACTTGCAAGAGAAAGTGTTCGCCTCACTTGGGCAAAGGTAATTGAGTTCACTATTGTTTTCTTTACCTTACAAAAAGTGGAAGTTTGTTGGACTGCGTTCCGTTTTCACCAGAGATGACATACCTTTAAATTACATTTTATTTCTACAATCATCATTACTTCTACAAGAAAGTAGCAAATGAGCAAGCGACACTTAAAGTGATATAACCTCTATTCTACAATTATTAATGCAGATTCCTGTAAAGCAGCTGAAAATTAATACTGTATACTTATATCTTATATATAAAATTCTCGTGTCACAATTTTCGTTCCCATACTCCTCGGAAACGGCTTGACTGATTCTCATGAAATTTTGTGAGCATATTGAGAAGGTCTGAGAATCGGCCAACATCTACTTTTTATCCCGCGCGGACGGAGTCGCGGGCGACAGCTAGTAATGTATAAATATATATAAAGGGTATTATATATAAGACAGCTAATAACATAAGCCGGTGCGGTGCAGCAGGCCTCGATAAATCGCTAACGAGCGCAGTGTCCGCTGCCGTGTCTCGTCCGGCCATCGTATTTCACGGATTAAAAGCTTCGGCTTGATAACCTCTGGGGCAAGTTATAAGCGATTACACACTTTATATATTCTATTACTTTAGATACGAAATAAATTGTATCTTTTAATACAGATATGAGTAGACATCTTAATAATTATAATTTTTTTTTAATATTAGCAGATTTTTTTTGTAAATTTACTAATATTTCTTTTACCATTAAAACTAAGCGCTAGGCTTGTGCTAGGATATGGTTTACGACAATAGTCGAATGCCGGGATTCGAACTCCCAACCTCGTGATCGGAAATCCGTACCTTTAACCATTAGGCTATTGACGCTTTTTAAAATTGAATTGAAGGAACTTATATCGTATATATGTTTGTTAAAGTATATATGCGCTTTTTCAATGAACTGTTGATGCCATTTCAATAGGTGGTATCGATGGTTTGCAAACATGTTGGTATAAAGTATTTGGTTTATGCATTCAATTGAAAAAAACCTTATTGTATACCTGAAAATCTTAGTGAATAAATAATGCTTACTGCTAAACTTACTAATATCATATTAAATACACAATTAATTAGTTATGAGTTACCGCTATCTCTTATAATTTGCACCGAGGAATAATCGTGCGTGCACTCGTTTTAATTATTAGTCAATATTTTGTTCTTATTTATTCTTTGCAGAATGCGGTTGCCTCGATATAATACCATATTTTATCTTTATTTCATTTGTATTGGTCCGAAGAGGCGATGAATAATTACTTAAATGCTATTTGAATTTATCTCAAATACGTAGCTACGTTTGTCCTAAGTTTTTACTTGATACTGTTAGGAAGATAATCCGGAAATGAGCCAGTGTATTGACTCAACACTAGCTTTACTAAAATATCGACGTTTGTGTTCCCTCACTATTCATTCTGACACTGGACTTTGTAACGAAAGCACGTCATTCGCGCCAAATGATTGAAATTAATAATGTCTAAACAAAATCTTACTATTAATATTATATAAAAGCGAATGTTTGGATGGATGGGTTGAAAGGAATCTCCAGAACTTCTGTATGGATCTTGCTGTAATTTCGCATAGATGTAGAACATGGTCTTGAAGAACACATAGGCTACTGATTAAGTTTTGTTAATTCTGCGCGGTCGAAGTCGCGGGTGACAGCTAGTATAGTATAGGCTGCAAGCGACTCTTGCTTCGTCTATATTCATACATGTATAATAAGAGAAGACAAATATAAACTCGTGTCAATTGTTTCTGAACAAATCTTAAGAACGAATATCAATCTCATAATCCCCGCAGACTCCACGCAGATATTATTTGTCATCGTCGCATACATCAATCAGAAACGAATCAGAAACCGATAATAAGATAAAAACTCTGTCCGTGTTCGGATCTTGCGACGACTTTGCGGAGTGGGGAAAAAGATTTTCCATAAAACGATTTCAAAGTTCTATAACAGGAGACATGCTATTAGAGTGTCGTTAACACGACAAATTTACATAATTCCATTAAAAAATTCATCGAGACTTAGTGCCCCTCTCAGAGTTTTATTTTATCAGTCGCGGAGACGCTTAGTATATATTTAGTAACCATTAAATAATTGCAACAATTAGCTATAGTAATAAGTCTAAGTAAGTGTGGATGGAAAAGATTATTTTAATACTAATCTTTATTTTCATTAAATAAAAACAATAATTTAATTTACACAAAAAATACACATATAATGTTTTAAATTCCTGTTGGAAACGAATAGCAATTATGTTTAATTTTGATATTGAATATTTTATTTACAGGTGTTATTTAAATATTACTTTGTATATTATGTTACACATTTATTATATTGTATTCCACAATAATCTCTTTACTATTCTTATCTGATAAAGTCTTTACAAACATTTTGTTTCGCAACTCGTTTCGTCGTAACTTAAATTGCTAAACAAAATACAGAAAGAATACGAGGAGAAAGTTGTTAGGTATTTTACCCTGGAGTGTAATTTTAACAATTTCATATCGTCTCCCGCTTCGGGGGACCATTGCAATGGCATTTTGATTGTTTGTCGACGCTATTCCTAATGTATATTTTCAACTCTTTTCTTTTAAATAAAGGTAGGCAGAACGCAAAACGCAATAGCAACAGGTTACAAGAAAATTTTACGTTATAAAAACGTTATTTCTATTTTTTTTATAAAACAAAGGGACAAAAGAACAGCTGGAACAAAAACGTGCTCTTAATTTTTTCAAGAGTTAAAGAAAAAAACAATTTTTGTAAAAAAAAAATATTCTTCCACTGATATTCTTCTAATATTAAACTATTTTCATTCATATTTTTTAATATTGGTTAAGTATCTTGTAATAAATAGAGCGTAGGTGGCTCAGTTGTTTCAGCACTTGACTTGTAATCTGCAGATCCTGGGTTCGAATCCCGCCATGTACCAATGTGTTTTTCAATTTTCGATTTACATATGTACCTTAATTCGACGTTCTTACGGTGAAGGAAAACATCGTGATGCAACCTGCACATATCTGCGAAGAAATTCAAAGATATGTGTGAAGTCAACCAGCCCGCACTTGGTCAGCTTGTTTGACTATGGCATAGTCACCCCTAACTTAGGGTAGGCTCCGAGCCCCTCGGTGGGGACGTATAGTGAGCTCATGATGGTGATGGTAAACTTGACTTTAGTTATAACAATAACATAGTAATTAAGTATTATAACTTTAATATTTAATACATATAACTTTTTATGATATATCCAGAGATATTTGGTTAATAGAAAGAAAGAAAGAATGAAAAGTTTTTATTATAGGTAATACAGATTAAACCAAGAAACAATAACTAACATGAAAAAATTATGGTTAATTTGAATCATAGCATTTAATAAAATAAATTTTATAAAATGCTATGTTATAGAATATTAAAAAGACGAAAACACAAGAAAAGTAGTAACATTACGTTTTACAAATAACTTTTTTATTGGAAACATGTTAAATACGTTTCATGAA